TGTATACTCTACATTATATATATATATATTGATTATTATCATATGTATATTTAAAATGTTGGCAATAAAAAGATGGAATACTTTTATTTGTATTATAGTGCTACTGTAAGGACTTGGCACGAAACAGGACAACCCCAAAATGCAGCAGCAGTCAGTAATGGAAGAGGGAACGGCCTACGAGCCACCTACTTATGATGAAACATTCCCTGTCCTTCCCGAATCATCTAGCTCCAACTCTGGACAGTTAAACATATTTTCTATAAACAACAGTTTACAACTTGGGCGTATAACTATTACACAGGTAGAAGTCTGTGAAGTTTTATACTTTTTTTTTTCTTTTTTTTTTAATTAAATAATCACATAAGATATATAGAATTGTTAGAAAAAAATATCGATATTGTACTTTTTACTGTATAAAATATATTTTTAAAATATTTAATCTCTTTGGACCATAAAATCATATAAAGAGCATTATTTTACAGCAAAACTTTACTTTATTATAAAAATATTCTTTTCCATGCATAAAGTTTAAATACAATTTTATCACTTTACAGGAATTGAAACACTTGTGCAAATTATTGTAAATCAGTGATTAAGATATTATTGAAGTTTGCTTACTGACTCAATGATAATTCAATATCTCTCTACATACATATAATTTTCGGCAAACTACTACAGTGGCTCTTTGTACATGTGAATGTAGACTGAAAGTCTCTGTAATAGCTAAAAAATTTTAAAAAAAATCTGCACAATTATTCAACTTTATATTTTAACATTTTTCCACTGTAAACATTATAACTCTGAAAATTGATTCCGTTACATTATGGATAAGCTTATTTTCCTCCTGAAAATTTATTTTACTGTATTGAAATATATTTCAGTAAGGATTTTTTTAATTGTTATATTTCTTTTGTGTTTTTGTATTTAATTAGTTTTATATTCTTTTTTTTATACATATATAGATGTTCCGCGTACCAGGGGAAGAGCGCAAGTTTGATCACAGTGATAAATTTGGCGAACGTGAATCTATCCGTACATGTAAAACTATTATGAAAGAAACAAATACTATTATTGAAATTGCATCATCTAAGGATCAGTCTCTAACGTTTCTTATAACTGGAAAGCAAAATCAGGTTCTGGAAGCCAAACGGCGCATTTTAACAACATTTCAAACTCAGGTATAATATTACCATATTCATGTACTTTGTTCTTTA